AAAAAAAAAATGTCAGTTTGCAGTTTATAATCAGTCTAATATTATGATGCGGTATAATATCGCATGATTATTTTATTTTCAGGTAAACTGATAATTAGATATAAATAAAATAAATGCATTGCAGTAATTTTGTTTTTAGACTAGCTACAATAATTGTGTTGCACTTTGTAATCATTTAATCAGATTACCCACCTACTTTATTCGATAATTAGTAATGATTTTTTATAATTGTAAACTTTTTATATACATATTAATTCCAATTCTATATAAAAAAATATTAATAGGTACCTATGTATAATAACTGTGTCATCAGACCATCTAATATTAGTAATTTATTAATTAGTGCTGACGTGGTTCAATGATGTTCTGATACAAAATTTTGATTTTAACAATTGTTTTGTACAGAACGATGATTTCAGTTTTATGTATGAAAATAATTCATCGTTGAAACAACAAGACGTATCTCAAAATTTAACAAATTGAGATTATTGTTAATAATGGTAAACAAACACTATATGGAAATATTTTATTTAACACATTTTTCACTTGGACAACTGTTTTCACTATAATTAACGAAAATGATAACAATGCGTATATCAAACGTAGGTAATAAGTAATAACATAACGTATCTCATTATAATTTACCATAGTAATAATGACCACATTTTAAATTTCTTGAAACAGGTAAGTTTTTTTAAAGTTAATACATTTTACTGTATAATGATTTTAATTATAAGTCGTGTTAGTCAATGTGTTTACAATACTGAATACATAAATCGAACATTAGCTTTAAAATGTTTTGATTTAAATTGATCGTATTTTCGCTATTGAGATAGACAGTGTTGATAAACCATTTTGATGAGATAGGTATTGTTACTGTAGTACCTATAATATTTTTTATAATATCATCGGTCTTAAATTTCATGCTAGAATTTGTTATAATATTATTAAATAAATTATAGTTATATTAAAATGTTCTTAAATTCTGTGTAACTCACCAACAGCGATTTATATAATTTATCTTTATGATGTTTTTTTTTTTTTTTTTTATTGAATAATTATTCAGTTTTGATAATTTGTTTTTAGTTTGAAAAATACAAATATAAGTTATTATATTGTAGATTATTAATTTTTATGTTTAGGTAATCTGTTCATGTGTTTAAATTGAAATGCTATGATGACATTTGAAACTGACAGTGAATCGGAAGATAATAGTTGTACATTTTCAGTAGATGAATTGTATCTTAATGTTGTTGCGAATAATTCCAAACCAAAAATTACTTAAAAAGAAAAACTACTTCTAAACGTTAACAATCCTAACTTACATTATGAAATAAATAAGGTAAATAAAAATGTAACAAGTGAAATTAACAAGAATGTCTAGTATTTTTAACTATATTTTTTTTTTTTTTTTTTTTTATTTTAAAGTAGAGTTAAAAAAATATTTAATAATAATATTATGTTATTACTCCTGTACTTACTTAATAGTTAATTCTGCAAGAGCTTCATTTTGGTTATATTATGAGCAAAAAGAATTAAAGTATTTCATAAATGACTGGTTAGGTTACCTTACCACCCACTGATTACTGTTGGTCGATGAAACCACCTATCTCAAAAATGTCAAATTGTAACTTAGCGTAATCAAATATGTTGCTTATTTAATGTTTTTTACCATATATAAGTACTTAATATGATTAAGTTCTACAAAATATACATTCTCAACCATCAATGTTTGGAATAAAATATAAGGTTTTTAGTTTTGATTAATATAAATCATTGGGAATAGGTATTTTATTGTTCCTGAAAACCTTCATAATATGAGATACGTCTAGTTGCTGTATCAGCGACGAAATACTTCAATTCTACGATAATAATTTATCAGATATAATATTAAATGCTATTAAAATATAATGTTGCGATCAGACAGCAGTAGTATAATATATCAATTTGTTTTTTACTCTTTAAACTTTATACCATTAATAATAAATAAAAATTATCAATATTATTGTAAAATAGAAACAAGATTAATTATTTTATTATAATGTTACTAATTTTTATTAAACAATCATTAAATATAAATTTTATAATTTGTAATATTAATAAAACAGATTATACATTTAAATTGTGATTATTTTATTTTTTAGTATTTTTGATAAGTTTTTTCTTAGGATCTGCTGAAAACCGATTCAATATTTCTCGAACAACATTATTTATTTTGTTTGAAATTATTGAATCTTTTGTATTTCTACTTGATGTATGAATTTTAATACTAGCTTCTGCATGTTTCCATCTAGTATGAAAATTCATTATTTAATATTTTTTATTTTAAACATGTTATAGGTCATAATTTTTTTTACTAACCTTTCATCTGATGGAATATCTTGGATTGTATTAATTTTATAGTGCTGAATGACATAGTAATCTTCACAGTGATCTACAACTGGACATTTAAATGTGTAGGAACTATTCCCTTCCTTCATTGTTAATGTATTTAATATATCATTTTCAATTTTTCCTTTCGATATCAAATCCATAAAAATATCCTTGTATGATTCCGATTGCTGATATATAAAAATATATAAAATAAAGTAACATTTCAATTGGTATTAAAAATGGTGTGTGTGTGTGTGTGTGTGTTCGTGTGTGTGTGTGTGTGTGTGTGTGTGTGTGTGTGTGTGTGTGTGTGTGTGTGTGTGTGTGTGTGTGTGTGTGTGTGTGTGTGTGTGTGTGTGTGGAATATTTTAGAAATAATATTAATTATTACATTTCCGATCTTGGTCTTTTTACTACTAGTACTAACTTTTGACTCAACAACATTTTTCCTTTTACTAATTTTGACAGGTACTGAATATGAACTTTCCTGATATCATTTAATAAAATATCAATAATATAAATATAAAATTCTGTTTTGTATCTATTATATATATATACACAATCAAATGGGATTACTTACATCTTCGTTTGACGAGCTTTCTCCAGTAACATTGGTATATGAAGACATATTTTTTACCTTATATAAAAATTTGCGAGTTAAAATTTTTAATATACTTGTTTTTTAAAACTTATACCAGATCAAAGTATATTACTTGTTATGTAGTCTTGTAACGGTGATAAGCAAAGACGCATCAAGTCCAATAGTTAATTTTGAGATTTAACACTGTCTATAATCAATGTATGTCGACTGTATACAATCTAATAAGACTGTGTGAGTGTGTAAAGTGATCATCGGTTTATGTATTATTGTCAGATAATTAGGTATAAATAAAATAAATGCAGTGTACTCATTTTGTTTTAGGCTTTCCACATTAAATTACACATAGAGGTTGCATGAGCAGATTACCTATGCTAACTTTAAATAACTTTTGATTAAAAAAAAAAAAAAAAAAAAATATTCGTTTGCAGTTTATAATCAGTCTAATATTATGATGCGGTGTAATATCGTATGATTATTTTATTTTCAGGTAAACTGGTAATTAGATATAAATAAAATAAATGCTGCGTACTCATTTTGTTTTAGGCTTTCCACATTAAATTACACATAGAGGTTGCATGAGCAGATTACCTATGCTAACTTTAAATAACTTTTGATTAAAAAAAAAAAATGTTAGTTTGCAGTTTATAATTAGTCTAATATTATGATGTGAATATCCCATGATTATTTTATTTTCGGGTAAACAGAAGGGACTATTTTCAGGTATAAAACACAGAATTTCTTAGCTTATCGTTATCAGTTCAAGCAACAGCAGTCCACAGCAGTTTCAAGAGTAGTCAGCAGCAGAACAGCCTTCTTCGTCAACCAACAGTCAGCTAGCAGATTACCAGACCTCTTTAACAAATAGCAACCAGTCAAAACAACTCTAACAAGCCATCATACTTAGAAAAAATACTTTAATTTCCACAAGCTATGTAAGTACTATTTTTATATTGTTATTTATTAAATTTTACATCTAAACTTCTTTTTTAAAATAAAAAAAAAATAAATAAAATAGAATAATAACAATAATAACAATGTATCGTTGTAATGATAATATAGCTTTATAATATTACTATGAACGTTATATCATGTAGACATGACTTTAGATAGAAATTCTATCTAAAACTGTGCTTACAAACTTAAAGATATTTCATCAGATTATATACAATAAAAACCATTAGAATAAAAGTAGTGGTTTAAAGACGGTTTCTCAACTCTCACTTTTAGTTACTACTACATAAGCTGTTTTCTTTTTTTTTTGTTAAGTTATGTTTAAATAAAATAAATAATACGTTATAATTATGCGACTATCCACGGTATAGAAAACTGTTGTATCATAGATTTATATAGATAAGATAAAACATCGGGCTTATCAACTATTTATAAAGTGTTAAAATTTTTTGAGGTTTCAAGGGTTCCTTATTATTGGTAATTATTGTAACTTAACCACAAAATCTGACTGCACTAGTACACACTGGTGTACACTACCCGGTGCACACTGGTCGATACCGTGTGGTCAATTATGTGATTCAGTGTTCACGTATAGTGTGTACTATATAGTACAGTCACATGGGAAAAACGCTATTGCCTATGCTATTACGGTTATCTATACCTAGTTTTATCAACGTTAAAATACTTTCGCTAATTATAAATATTTGCTATTGATAGTGTGATAGTTGTATTATACGTGTAATATTATTTTACGTAAACATTTTTTTTAATTTAAAAAAAAAAAGGAAAAAAAAATATTCAATAATGTTTACTGTCTGTATAAAAAATATATAATATCCTAAAATGTATATAATATATACATTTAAATTATTTTTGTTGCTTTTACATCTAGTAATGCGGCTTCACTAGTAATTAAAAGTATGTTTCTATGACATAAAATATGCTACAGTACTCCCTCGTTAACACGAACACGACGGGACCACAAAATAACATGTTCGTGTTAAAAAAATTTGTGTAAACCGATAGGTTTAACACGAATTTGTTCGTGTTATCAGAGAAGGTTAAATCTAATACGTTATTTTACACTCAAATACATTTTTTTATTAAGTTTATTAAGTTTTATTAAGGGTTTTCGTAGACGCTTTGTACTGTTGGTTGAACCAAGCTCAACTGCTTCGTCAATCTTATCTTTATTTTTAATAATTGTTGATAATGTTGATTTTGGAATGCCAAATTTCTCCGCGATTTTGGTTTTAGGCAGTGTACCTTTTTCGACTTCTACTAAAATTAGTTGCTTAGTTTTTGGATCTATAGACATTTGCTTCCTTTTCAAACTCATTTTGGTCAATCACTAACGACACCAACAAAGTCAACTGACCAACTGATTGATAGAGCAATTATTAGTTTTAACGAGAGCGATTATCGCCGAACTAGATTGCACACATACAAATGTACACATGTATACATATGTATGTACCGACAATAGAGAATATGTACATACATATGTAGTAGGGATAAGATAAGATATCGATAAAACTGTGTTATAAAGATTAAATTACTAACGACTAGTATACGAGTAATAAAACGAAATTAGATATATATGTACAGATTGACATTTTTCTGTTCGTGTTAATCAACAAAACGACAATATGGTACCTAAAATTTGTTCGAGTTTCGTGTTAACCGAAATAATTCGTATAAACCGAGGAAATAAAAAAACCCCTATCTTATAGTATAGAGCCTTTCTCTGGACTGAAAAACCGGTTCGCGTTATACAATAATTTGTGTTAACCGAGTTCGTGTTAACGAGGGAGTACTGTATATTGTTTAGTTTGTTAAAGTTTTTTTATTTAGATTTGAATAATATAATAAGTAATTTAGATTTCTATATTATATATTTTATACTAATGTACTTAGGTAAAATTATAGATAATGAATTATTGGCATTCATTTGATTATTGCTGTGAACAAATTTAATACTATGAAGAACAGATTAAAACATTAACAAAGATGATTGACCAAAATAAAACTAAATAGAGATATGAATATAAAGATCTTAAAAAAAAAATAAAAACCTTAAATTCACTATTTATTTAAGTAGAACAAATTCTAATCCAAATTTGTCTTATATAAAACAGTTAAATATAAAATTAGTTTTATTAAGAGAAAATAAAATGGATATACCTATGTCGAAAATATTGTGATTTATATATCACGAATTTTCGTAGGCGAGAAGTTTGTTTCGGTAGAAGGTTAGATTTTCTTACGACAGCAAAATCTAAGCATGAAAGTTTTCGAACAGGTTAAATTTTTTTAATTTATTATGAATAATTAGTAAATATATTATTAGTTTATAATTATTATTATTTTTTATTTTTGCTATTATTTTATTACTAGTAGATAGTTTACAAATTCTATAACAATTTTCTAGAATAAAAAAAATGGAGTCACAAAATGAATTAATCTGGGAAGAAATTAACTCAATATTAAAGCAACTTAAGGAAAATAACCGTGGTATGAATAACGACGAAGCAACTTTCAAAAAGAAAATGAGAGATATCAATGTTAAAATCCAGAACGCGTCATTGAAAGCTACCAGGAAAAAGTTGAAAGAAGAAAAACATTTATTAATCAACGATTATAAAAATTTATTATATATAACATACGTCTGTGAAAAAAATATACAAAAAGGACTAAATGTGTTATATGATAAATTAAACGATATATAGTCGCTGATAATAAAATCGATATAAATAAATTATTTTGTTATTATTTATTATTTTTATCTTGTAATTATATATCGAATGATATTGTAGTAAATTATAACCTATATCATTCTTATGCATATAATATCTGTTGAAGGATAATAAATGTTTTTAATGCTCAATACTGTTCAAGTTTTATAATCGTTCAAATAAAACTAATTTAATAAAAATTTTAGGAAAAGTGTTTCAGATTAAAAAAAAAAAGTATCAATTTTCTAACATAATGAGCGCATAAACAATGTATCAGTATTAATAGCTAGTTTTGAAATTCTATGTAATTTTCAGAATCATGAACTCAGAAATAAACATTATTAAAAGCAGAATTCTAGCAGTAGAACAACAGATGCTTGCAAATAGACGCTATTGTATAGAGAATCAGAAAGCATTTCGAAAAGTATTTGTAAAATTACTATTAGTATAAAGAAACATTTAAATTTAAAAATTGAGTTGATAAATGAACATAATAGATTCCAAAACTATTCAAGTGAATGTAAAGCAGATCTTCAGTAACGGTTAACAAAACTAAACAATCGGTTAAGATAATTAGAATCCGAGTAATTTCTTGATAATTTAAACTGCTTGTATAGACAGTTAGAAAATATAGAATAAAATATTTATATTGTAGCATAAGCGTATAGGTACGTGATAAGGTCTTATAACTATAATTTTTTTAAATATATATTATCATAATAATTATAGTATAAATAATATATATTTTTTAAAAATTAACTTGATATTTACAATTTATAAAATAATATAACCATTTTAGTCAGCAATAAAAAAAAGTTAATTGAATAAAAAGTGAATTATATTATACAGTGTATTCAAAAATCAATCACTGATATTATCTCAGTTTTATTTATTTTTGAAAATATAAAAAAAACAGTAACTATATCATAAAGTTAAAAATGAAAAAGAAAATGAAAACATTCTAAAAGAACATAGTCTCTTTGACTGATTATTATTATCATTTATCAGTATTTTAAGTTTTAAAACTTAAGAAACTTTAATTAAATATTATGTTAATAACATATTTTATGACTGGTTAGCAAAACTATACAAAATAATAATAATAATAAAAACGTATAAAGATTACATTTAGCTAAAAACAGAATAAATATTATACTAACGGGTGTATAAGAAGTTGTCTATAGAGACCCCTTAATAAAAAATAAAAAAAAAATAGTAATTAATACTAAACATAATATTATTACCACATATTATAATATTAAAGAAGAATATTATTAAATAAGAAAAAAAAACTACATATTAATTGAAATAGAGTTGTTCGATATGATATTATAATAATTTATAACATTACCGCTTATATATTTTATGTTTTACAGTTGTATTACGGAAAGAATGAGGAAAATTATTTCAAACCGTCAACCATAAGAATCAATAGAATTAATTGAAATTGAAAGATTTAAAAAAATGCTCTAAAACATTTTTGATTAAGAATATAGATTCCATACTATACAAGTTGAATATAAACTTTTTTATTAAATAATTGTTAAAGATAAAATAAATACTATAGTAAAATTATAAGATAAAAATACAGAAGTATTATTTATTTTCATTGATTAATTTTTCCGCTAGATGATGCTTTTTATATCGATTGTGGATACGTCATCATGTTTTTTTTTTTTGAAACAGGCTATTGAGGATTAGGAGATCATAACAATATAACATTGTGTAATAATTAATTTTGACTTCAATGAAAAAATATTTTATTATAAAAGCATTACATATTATACATAAAAAATCTTTATTTTAAAATATCTGATGATGTTATCCATGAATTTTGACTTGAATCAAAACCTAACCATTTAACAAGCATTTTATTCCCAACTTTTTTTACAATACGTTCAATGAGAAAGGTTTTTGGAAAATCAGTTAATTTAATTTCCTGTTCATAAAAACCACCTAAGATTATATTGTCTGATTCATCCTTTAGTTGATAAGTTACTGGATTTGTCTGAAAAACTTTTGAAACTGTAAATATTTCCGTTGTCTAATTTGGTGTATATCCTTTACTAAATATATGTTTATACTTAGATATTCTTACTTTGTCGTTAACCTTAAATTTTGGTTTGTACAATGTTTCAGAATTTATATATGTGTTAAATTTAATATTGTTTGTATCCATTCGAGCTTCACTAGGTGTACATTTGATTGTTCTATGTTTTGTATTATTATAGTTATGTATAATTTTTGATATTGTATTGTACCAATTCCATGTACCAGTAGCAGTAAAATGTATGTATATATATATATATATACATTATTTTCAAGAGTTTAGACCATGTGTTCCGCGATTGAACATTTAATAACACCGTATTTTTTTATTAAATTTTGAAATTGAGCATTGTAAAATTCCGCACCATTATCTGTCTGTAAAAATTTTGGGTTTGCTTTTTTTCGATATAATAAACATACCTTTTGTACATTCTTTCGATGTTTTATTTTTCAGCAGTTCCTGAATACTTAAATCCAGCCTCAGATAACGAATATTTATTTTGACATAAATTAGGTGGAAACAAATTATATGATTTTAATCTCGATAAGAATGTAGTTAAATCTGTATGCACTGGATACGAATTATTTCTTACTAAATAAGCCAATGAAGGAAAATCGTTAGAAAACTTCTGTAAATTCATGGTTTTTAATAAAACTTGAAATAATTGGTTGAAAAAAAAAAACGATTCAAGAAGATAATGCACTGAAAAAATTCCCCGTGAAAATTAACACAGAAGCCCCAACCATACTTTTTAGAATTTTTACCTATACGGTGATCAAATGTGCTGCAAGGAGGACTTTCCCCCTTGAACTTTTTTTTTTCCCTGTAAAAAGTGTTACAGAAGCCCCAACCCACCTTTTTAGAATTTTTACCTATACGGTGATCGAATGTGCTGCAAGGGGAACTTTCCCCCTTGAACTTTTTTTTTTCCCTGTAAAAAGTGTTACAGAAGCCCCAACCCACCTTTTTAGAATTTTTACCTATACGGTGATCGAATGTGCTGCAAGGGGAACTTTCCTCCTTGAACTTTTTTTTTTTCCCTGTAAAAAGTGACTCAGAAGCCCCAAATTACTACTAATAGAGTCGGCATGCACGCCGATGACAGCGGGCGATTGGTCACCAAGAACATCGTGTACAGGGAAGTTCTGTAATGCAATACGTGGTAAGTATATTCTAGGTGACGTCCGACGATCGAGTCTAGATGATAGTGATAGTCTGGTTGACTTTAAACCTGACATGTGTAACATATTTTTCAAACACAATACGTTACACCGCTGTTATACTGGTATGTGTTCTACATGAGCCCAATGATCAAAGATGACGATGATAGTCTGGTTGACATTAAACCTAACATGTGTAGCATATTTTTCAAACATAATACGTTACACCGCTGTTCTACGTGGTCTGTGTTCTACATGCGCCCGATGATCAAAGATGACGATGATAGTCTGGTTGACTTTAAACCTAACATGTGTAACAGTTTTTTTCAAACTTAATACGTTACACCGCTGTTCTACGTGGTCTCCGTGGATAGGTACTTCATGATGACCTTGC